TGAAGCTTCAGAAAGAGCTGATATTTCATAGACTATTTGACAGTTCTGACAAAAATAATCTCTGAGACTTCCATTGTTGCCTGAAATCATCTCTTTCACCCTCTTTCACCCTCTTTCACCGTCAGGTCCCTGAGAGTACATAGCCGGGACTGAAAATAGTCGCACATGTGAGAAGCTAGATTTATGCTGTTTTTCTTTTTTTCATAAATTTCGGTAGCTTGTAGTAGTGAAATTTAAGGAAGAGATTGTCTTGTTTCTAACACTTACTGGGACCTTTTCTAAGACGATCTACCAATGAGTTGTACCTGAAACTGCAGCCTCTAATTTAGTTCTACTGGCAATAAGCTGACATAAATGATATGCTGTACACACCACACAAAGTAGTTTAAGTATAAGATGTATGAACATTTTGAATCTGATGGCTACTTTCTACTTAGTCCTGAAAAACTAAGAAATGAGGAGATAATAACAGAAGAGTAAAAGGAGCTGTTTTCATTTTGCAAAACTCAATTAGTATAGCTGAAACTCCTCTCAGATTCTCTATGAAATGTAAACAATATTAAATTTTCTAGAGAAGTCTTAGCTTTCCATTTTCCTTTGGTTGTAGTAAATAAATCTTTCCTGGCATAGATCAAGAAGTGGTAAGCCATGGGACCTGGTACTGTAGTGCATGTTTATACTAATGTTATCTCTAAGTTATGGGCTCTGATTCAGCTGGGAAACACAGAGAGGGAATACAGTGTTTCATGGACAGGAATTCATTGGGAGTGGAATGAAGTCTTTAAAGGCTTGTGCTTAAAGGAGGGGAATTATACTGTGTACTCACATAGGTGTGTTACATCTAATCACAATTTGCAAAAGGTAATTTTGAATGTGTGACACCTTGAGTTGTAATGCTTAAGAATATTTATATACATCTTTGAAATAATGAAAAAGGAGGAAGAAGAAAAAGCAAAAGAAAGCCTGTCTTCCCCCAGTCACTAGTTTGTGGACAAACCAGGAAAACTTTTCTCCCCTCTGTCATTTCCTCCAGTTTGGGCTCACCGCCCACCTGCTGTTGTTACACTACTTTGTACTCCCCTCTCACTTTCCTCCCTTCATACAAGGGCTTGTGGTAGAGAATTCAGACTGATTATTAAAAAGGCAATTTGTGTAATGGCTAAAAACACAAGCTCTGGAGTCTCTGGGTTCAAGTTCTGGCCCTAGCTGTGTGATTTTAGACAAAGTGCCTAACTTCTCTGATCCTTCCTTTTCTTATCTATGAGTGTAGTGGCAGTCCATCTATGCATGTACAAGAGGAAGCACATGTGTACTTCTCAGAGATTTTGGAGGTATGAATGATGTAAGGATGTAAAAGACTTGGCATAGCAAATGCTCAGTAAAAACAAGCCACTAATATTTAATTATTTGTATTAATATTCATGTTGGGAAGCATAATAAATAAGTTTTCTTCTATCTTTCAGTTATGAAATGTGTATTAACTGAGGAAAAGAGAGACAAAATATTACATCATAATGAGATAAAGCCAAATACCTGGATAAATTGGGAAATAAATATAGATATTTTCAAATATCTTACAGACTAAGCAGCAATATTTTTATAGTTTTATTTTCATTTGGCATGTTCCCTGTGGGTACATGTGTATGTGTGTGTATAGAAAGCCAACACACTGGTACCCACTAATCCCTTCTGGAGCACTTCTTTAAGCTGTATGCACATCTCAAAACTTTACATGCATTATTTCTAATCCTTATTAACTAGACAGAAAAAAATTATTAGACCCATTTTATACTTTAGCTAAAGCTTGGAGTAACTCGTGGAAGTTTAGACAGCTAGTAGACACTGAAGCCACAGAGTTGGAACCCAGGTCTTAATCCCTCAGAGCTGGTTCTCTTTCCCACTATTACCTGTATTTTATGAATGCAAGAGTAATGGCCTAAGGAGACTGGTTGCTAAGTTCACTGATTGAGAATTGGCATCAGTACTAAAGGTTTGCGTGCCCAGACTCCCAAACTCAGTCTTACTGTTGACAATGTATTTCATTTTTACAAATATAAACATTTTTAAGAGTTAAAATTTTTACTCAGATATGTGTATGTAGTAATGCACAATTATACAAATTATAAAAATACGAATGTGTAATGTACACAATATAAAGTAAAGATCCTATGTACACTGATACATGTTATCTCTCTTAATACTACTGGGAAGAAAACTGCGTTGATGAAGTTGGAGATTGCAAAGGATAGGTTTGGGCATAAGATGTTGTGCCATCTTTATTTGGTTTAATAGTTCTATGAAAAGTGGAGAAAAATTGTCCTTCAGAAAAACATTTGGGACAAGGAAACTAGCACCATATTTAACAAAGTTTTTGAAGGAAAAATATCTCCTGTTCAGCCAATGTAAAAGGTCAGTGAAACACAATCATAGCAGTTGATTCTGAATGTTGACCTCAGTGTGTACGATCAGAAAGGACTCTTACCAGGACGCTTTGGCTTACTTGGGTACCATGAAAGTCTCCACTGACAAGCACAATGATGAACTGCACGTTTCCTGCAAGCAATACAAGTTTGGAAGATGGCATTGTTAAGTTGGGGGTTTATTTATTTTCAAAGAACCAATTTTTTCACAGTGTTCTGCAAACCTGGTGTAACACTCAGAGAACTTATTGATGATAAAGGGAAACTTTATGTAGGGTTGTACCTTGGTGGGTAGGGAATGTCATGATACATCTATTTTATCAACATAAAACTTTGTTGCTCCTCCAAAGGATAAATTTTCTGTTTGGGTTCTAACACATCTGACTGCATTGAATGAATGACATGATACCTCAAAAATATGCTTTAATATATACCTAATCTTTTCTTATGTGTATATTTCAGTAAATAAAATATGAATAACTCTAAGCCTAACATAAATGTTGATAGTTAGATATCTTTTTATCCTTGACTTATTAACAGCTCTTTTGTGACCCTTCATTTTAAATATTTCATGCAAGACAAAACAAAAACCAATGTAAATAGCTATTTTCAAAATCAGGTAAAAATCCTCTGTCTGATTGCTTTGGTTGCTTCCTTATAGCCTTAGAAGTTTGAGTTCAACATTTTGCAGTAAATTAGTATGTTCTTTCCTCATACGTATTGAAATTGATTTGTCAGGAAAGCAGAAGGCCTTCTATAGATTATGATTTGATAATAAGAGGATGGGCCTCCCAGAATAAAACGAACTAAACAATTTAAATTTCAATGATACCATTGCTTTGGCACATAAAGGCATTATCTTGCTTTCAAGAGTGTCATTTAAAATGTAAGTTCATTTGGCAATATAAACTTTAAACCCATATCAGTTAACATGTTAATTATTATTTAAGACCTTAGTAGGAATTAGTGGGCAGCTATTAGAGATAAAATGAAATATGTTTCATGCCTGATCAGAGGTGAGCCTGGCTCTAAAAACATTCTTCAAAAAATGCTACTTTCCTGCTTTTGATTTATCTGGGCTGAGAATCTTTATTTTAATAGAGAGGGTCACCCTTGGTAGGAAAACATCTAGAATAGTATCGTAAAGTGTATCATCATGACATACAGTTCATTGAGAACTATCTATTAAGCTCATATTATAATCGCTTAGGGTCCCAGCAGGAAATAGGTGGCATGCTGGAAGAAGTAATCCAAGATAATGTAATGCAGACTCTATAGATGTAAGGGAACCAACAAATGATAGTGAAGCACCCAGAAACCCAGAGATTTAAAGCAGGAAGCTGTTATTATCCTTAGGCCCAAAGGTATGTGTTGTTGGAACCTAACAAGAGTCAAGGCAATGGTAGAGGGGCATGCCGGCTAGACCAAAGAGCAGAGCCACTGCCAAATCATGGCCCAGTAGGTGGACCAGGGAGAGCATAGGCCCTGACCTCTCATTTCCTTGCTCTTTGATTTCCACTGTTGCTTCCTGTTGAGCAAATCCAAGCAGGAGCCGGAGCACAAGGAAGCCCAACCAATGTGGATTCTAGAGGGCAGTCCTCCTCTTCCTAACACTCCCACACCACCCATCACACATACAGGAGAGGGTGGAGAATGGGCCTAGAAAAGCAGATGGAGAACAACCTTTTGTCACCTTTTTGTGATGATTTGTCACCTTTTGTCATAATCATATTTATACAAAATATTAGTCCTTAGTTATTCCTCACTGAGAAGTTGATGAGAACCACCTGCCATTATTCTATGTCTCCGAATTTCTCTTTTTCTAGGATCTGAAGTTCTTTCTAGATTCATGTTATGTTATTGTTCCACATCAGTGTGTGCTAGAATATGATATGGTCCTTATTGCAGGGGTGTTTTTATTTTTTTTGAAAAATATTATCTTCCTTCTTTCTGTTTTGCTAAAGTTTGCTTGGTACCATGCTTGGTTGGTGCCATGTCTTGAATAGTTGATTTCAACAAATAGTTGCCCTTGTTAACATATCCCTACTATTCTGGCTCCCTGATCGCCTCACTGTACTGAAATGGCTTTTATCATCCCTGTTAGCTGTACAGATCTCTCCTCAAATCATCTGCTTATCCTACATCCCCTTAGCAATGGGGGGAGCCTTTAAGTTTATTTTAATGGTAGACATCACTTTCTCAGTGGGACAAAATTTTACAGTGGAAATAATTTCTTAATATACAATCAATGTAAACATCTTCCCTCATTTTTTTCTCTTCATTATTCCTTTTATTCTTGTTCCTTTACATTGATTTACTTTCTTTTTTCCGGTTTGCTTACAATGTTGTGAATTAAAATTTGACATTATGGTACATAATAAATTGTGTGTGGGTGTGTATGCATATACGTTTAGGGAGTTGTAATGTGTGTTTAAGAAATTTTTACATATCTTAATAGGTAAATTAAAAATCAGGGCTGGTTTTACAGTTTGCAGATCTGTTTACTTCTGTTTCTCAGGGATGGTGGCTTGCTTTTTATTGGTTATGTTATTCTAACTATGCCTTTTTCACTCCACTCAGATTCGAAACCAAAGCAAAGCCTCCGGGTCTGGGCTCTGTGAGGGAGATGAAGTGGTTTCTATCAATGGCAACCCCTGTGCAGACCTCACATACCCTGAAGTCATCAAGCTCATGGAAAGCATAACAGACTCTCTCCAAATGCTCGTCAAAAGGTACAACAGATTTGTTGGAATACATATTTTTCTCTTGAAATGAGATGGGAACTATTATAGCTCTTACCACAAAATGCATTCATACAGGAATTGGGAGTGCTTTGTAGAATAGTTAAACAAAAACCACAGTGTTTGAAAAATGGGCAGTTTGGCTTACGCCTGTAATCCTAGCACTCTGAGAGGCTGAGCTGGGTGGATTGCTTGAGCTCACAGGTTTGAGACCAGCCTGAACAAGAGCGAGACCCCATCTCTAAAAATAGCTGGGTATTGTGGCAGGCAACTGCAGTCCCAGCTACTGGGAGGCTGAGGCAAGAGAATCACTTGAGCCCAAGAGTTTGAGGTTGCTGTGAGCTATGACACCTTGGTACCCTACCGAGGGCAACAAAGTGAGACTCT